GTGGAGGTATAAAAAAGTTTCTAAGAAACTCTATATTAAGAATAATCTTTTGTGTAGGTAAAATCACGAAATAATTGTTCATAAATTTATTTTTAGGTATGTACAATGTATATGTTGAAAACTTCATGGTGCGGGACGTTACGTACATTTTCTATGGAATGTCTTATCAACAACTGAAAGTTTTACTAAAAGAAAATAGACAACGAAAAAGTTTTCCCCTAGTGGAAAATCCAGATAGTATGGTTCTCTTAGGATCAATACAACGAATGCCGCTTATCCAAGTTATCGAGAAACAAATCGGGAAAGAGCGAAGACTGCAGGTATGTAGGTAGTCTAACATTTTAACTTATTTATTCTGAAATTCAAATAGCTAACTACCTGATTCATTTGTATACCTATCTATTTGGACACCAACAAGCACTTCAAAAATTTAAATTTTATAGGTCTTAATTGAAATACATATTTAAATGGACAAGATTGTAATATAATATAATATAATGTGCCAATAAAACTTAAAAATTATTAATTTTATCTTTTTCCGACCATTACTCTACGCTCCATTGTTACATCAACCTAAAGTGGTATATAGCGCCGAGTGCATTTCTAAACATAAAAGGCTCGTTCAATAACGCACGCCCATCTCATTCTCTGTTCGCCTCCATTGAAAGAAAAAGAATCGACAAAACTGACTTGTGATCAAAAGCATGCCTGGAAACCGAAACATCATTTCATCATTGCATGGAGACAGTCATTTTCAGGCATGCCATAGATGAGAGAAAACTATTATCGTTCCCTTTACAAAGAGAAGAAAGCTCAACAAGCTTCGATAACTTACCTTGGCCGAGGAAACCATTCATTTTGCGCAGTAGGTGAAATTTCTAAGGATTACCATAGATAAGCGACTCACCTAGAACTCCCAATTGGACAAAGCTACCAATAAAGCTAGATTATCCATCTGGACCCTCAGAAAAAAATTAATTGAATGAAGTTGAATAGATATTTAATATGTATAATAGGTATTTAATTGTCTCGACCATGTGGTATTCTAATAACGGTACTTCTCTGTTGTATGCCGTGGACAATCTGTCTTTACTTAGAAACTTGGAGCTTGTTTGGAGAAGCTACTTAACCTAGACTTGGAGCTCGCACTTGAAACTCGGAACTTGGAGAAACTACGTAACTCTGAGCTTGTTGGAGAAACTACGTAGCTCGGACTTGGAGGAGAAACTATATAACTCGGTCTTGGATATTTATAAGGCCAAAATAAGTTATAACAATAAGTTTTACATCATTTGAACAAAATATAAACTATTTATAAGGCCAAAATAAGTTAAGAGCCATAGATTTCCGTTTAAACTGTATTTCCAGACTGACTTGTAATTCAATTATTTAGTTGCCTCCCCACATCAAAGAAAGCTTAAAAATAATATTAGGTAGGGTAGCTTTAATCTATATAAAATAAAACAATTCCAGCAAAGTGTTAAAATATAAGTTGAAAGAAACATTACCTGACAATTATCCCAACGTTAACGCACAACAAGCACATATAAAAGACAAGATAATTACGGAAATCTACTCATAGTAGATTATTTGTCGGCACACACTGTTGGAGTTCCTTATTATAACTACCACTATGTACTACATGTGTTTTAATCAGGAATGTTAATGTTAATGATATTGTTATGTGATGAAAAATAAAAAAAGCACTACTCGTTTCTTTATAAGGATTATTTCCACTAATAAATCCAAAAAGGATTTCAAATAGGTCATGACCCTCACGCATATAGTGAACCCATATTGAGAACCTAGAAATTTTACATCCTCTCTCCAAAGGAAAATAATTTGGAGAAATGAGTACTTCTACAGAAGGATCGTCTAGCTCTCTACCACAGTCTCTACCTTATTTTGAGAAATTAAGAGGCAATGATAATTACAATGACTGTTCGTTTGCGATGAAAGTGTTTCTAAAACATGAAGATCTCTGGTATAGTGTTATTGGATATCCAGAAGATGATGCTACATGCTGTCACTAAATCCAGGAAAGACTAGAAATCCCAAACTAAAATTTGTCTCATGGTATTGCCGTGTTGTTACAGTCACGTAAGAAATGCCATAAGCTGCAACAAGCTTATGAAGATAAAGATTTGAACAGATGAATAGGTTTACTTAGAAAGATATGCTCATTGAAAGTAGAAAATTTCCAAAAGATGGAAGACTATGTAAACGAATTCATGAGCATTTCTCAATTAACAAGCCTGTCGACGACGAACTCGTAAAGTGTAAATTACTTCAAAATACAAAGTGGAACAACGAAATACAGACCCACACAAGCACTTTACTCTAAATAGAAAAGTTGGAAAACTAATAAGAAACCCTGGAGTTATAATTGCCGGTCAAAAGGCCGCTATTATACGTCGACACTCGAGCGGCGGATATAACTATTGAAATGTTATAGAAAGTTTCTAGACACTTTGAAACACACTATACATAACAATTTTGGGTCCGCTAAAATTGTTTTACCTTAAAATCCTTAAAAAATTTTGTTGGGTCTCCATCATAAAACAAATGTGAAATAAACCATTTTCACTGATTTCTTGTTGTAAAAACGGCTAAATGTCAATATTAGACCATTCATAGAGCAATAAACCATAACAAATTTTTTCATAAACGATCAAATTTTCTTATTTTTCATTTTTAGTTTGTTAGCAAAACAAACAGTAAATTATTTTCAATAACAATTGACGTTCCCATAAAACAAAGCAATTGACGTTTCTAGTTTTTATAAATGCGGTGTTGCCAAATCGAGTAAGAAAACATATGTCAGGAAATAATTCGTTTAATGAAAGTTGGCTGAAAAATTACATAGTGTCTGGCCAGCAGGTGAATTTGGATCCCGAAGTGAAAACATTTGTGGTAATCATAGACATCCGTCTTTTTATTTCATTTCATGATGATTGTGCGTTAATTTACGGCATGTCGGTACTTATCTAATATTTGTAAAAAAATACCTTTTTTTAATTTAAGCTGTGTTCAGGCCGTTGGAGTCTATGCCGGTCGGCGTAGCCAGGTATGGTTTAAAAAAGTCGTTGCTTCGTCTACTTATTTTATATTTTCTTGTTATTAGACGCCCACGACAAATATGTGTTCGTTAAAATTGTATAATCCTTGCAATTTAGAAAATATCAATATTGACGTCGAACAGTACTCTGCCGATGAGGGTGAGGAAGAAGATCTTGATATGGGTATTTTTTAAATCGTTAGTTTTATATAATTTTTTCTGATACTGAAGTCAATTGGTTGGTCTGGTAAAACGGAGGGCATAAGTAAAAATTACCATTGCTATGTAATAATTGATCTAGCAACATTGTATTTCTTTTAGACACATGTCACACTTCCAATACACACTACCACATTGAACTCGATATACCAAAAGGCCGGTTGAATCAACACCAGTCGGTTTTATCTCAGCGTGTCAGCGTGGTTGCCCCCATAACGAGAAGCGAGCGGTTGCCGTTTAAATTGTGTTACGAGGGGTTGTCGAGAAGTTGTTAAAAATAAATTTGAAATTAATTTAAAATTAAAAATACTAGGTGATTTGATAGACAATTAGATTAAGTATTTTGGGTTTGGAAAATTAAGTGAATTTAAATATTATGAAAAACAGGATCATTAAATCCTCCTTATATTTCGGTAAAAAAAGACATTTATTTTTCTTTACAGTCTATCAACAATTTTAAAATTAATTTTACAACATATAACATTCTTCAAGCATTTTTCATATTTGATTCCATATGGTCTTCATGGCTTTATACTAAATTCTCCGCTGGCAAAATATTTCGACAATAGATGATTTCAACGGAAGACATCTTGAAGTTGCAAGGTCATTGGAAGATCTTTGCGCCATCTATAAGTTTACATAACAACTATTAAAATAAAAAAGAAAACTAAATTATTATTTTGGTAATCTGTTTAAGGTTACGGCATCGGTATTTATTTTGTTTTTCTCTACTTAGTAGCAGGTCCCAGAGTCTTCTTTTTCTTAGTCATGTGTCATGTCAAAATTTGTAAAAACGTAAAACGACCTAACGCGCGCTAAGCAAGCCTTTTAGATCTAGATTCCAGATCTTGGCGATAGTGAGTGTAAAAACTGAGCCCATACAACTAAAGAAGGGAAGAAACAGAGAAGAAATTTATACTTAACGCCGCCGTAACTTTAGACACATTACCAAAATAATAATTTACAGTTTTCTTTTTTTTATTATTAGTATTTTCTAATTAGACGATTTTGCTATTCGTAAATCATATTCATTTTTGTCGTAGGCTATCATATATATAAATTGTAAATGCTGATTGGTCTGAATAACTAAGGTTAGGATTTGAGTGTAATTTTGTCATTATTATAATTCATTAATCATTAAACATGGACGCGGTAGTTTAAAAGTAACTGGATAGGGTGCATAAGCAAACTATATTAGAATACATTGAGGCCAATTCCAAAATTATAACGAATCAAAAACATAATAAACAGCATACATTTGCTAACATTTTAATTTTCAAGTCATAATATCTGACAGTTTCTCGTCCCATCGGCCTCTCGTTTCTGTGGTTTAAAGTAAAGCTTGAACAATTAAGGGCTGATGCAGGCCGAATTTTTGAAGGTGGTCATTGCCATTAGCCCTTCTAGTTAGGACTATGAATAGTAAAATAACTTATGTAAATATTTTGGCTTATAGGTGGCTGCTATACGACAAAGAGAAGCTGAAGAAAAAGCTAGAGAAGAAGCTGAGCGTCTGGCGGACGAACGGAATAACAAACGTAGATCGTCAAGATTCCAAGTGGTGCCAGCACCCGATATTCTGCACAGACAAACATCAGAAAATCAGCTGGATCACCCAACCTACAATCCAGTATTTGGTACACAACCAAAGAAATCTATTCTAAAAAAGACTAATTCTTTTACACTTAAAGGATTTTCACCATTTTTGAGCACAAGTCCTGGAACAACTCCTTATACTACAGTTACTGGGGCCGAAAGTAGAATACGTTCTGCATTCGAAGCTATTTTTAGGTAAAATAATATTTATCGTGAGATTAAAAGTAAAAGTAATATTTTTTTCCTTCTTTTGTTGTTTGTAATTCCTATTATCAGTTTTATTTTAAAATGTCTTCTTTAGAAAGTCTACCCAACTTCAAGATGTCGACAATGATTCTATTGCTGACGATTGTCCACCTAGTCCTAGTACAATGAAGAAAGTCCAACTGGTAAGTTCGATTTTCTAACATAATACATGGTTAAATGGAATTATTGTGACTTGTTTTCTGAAAGACAAAAGAAAAACTGAAAATAATCATTGTACATTATATTGTACCATTATATTTTTTAAGCAACATTTATTATATTTAATCGTCAATTCAATTTTATATTCACATGTATTACCACTAAAGGTTACATTATTTCCAAACATTGTTTTGAAGTCATGAATATTATTAAGCAGCACCCTGTAGCGTGCTGCGGTCATCATAAGTAAAGGTACGAGTAAATGAAGAAGATATAATATTCCCGAAAAGTCTCGAAATGTCATTCCTTGTCAAAGAAAAGTCCAGATTGTTCGAGAAGGTTCCAGAAGGGGATGCAAGCTATATAAGGCGACGACCTGACGTCAGAGTTTTAGTTTTCTGATAGACAAACGTTAATGTTATCAGTTAAAGTTATTGTGTCAGTTGAATTGAGTTATTGTAAAAGTTGAGTTCAAATAAATTGTGATACCAAAAACCAGCGTAACATTGGTGACAGCTTTTTCTTCTTTATAAACTTTATTTACATTTTTAAAATGGTATATGTACAACACAAAAATAAAACAATACACAACTCCCGTTCGGGACTTGGGTCGGCGTGGCAGGGTCCTGCCTGGCCTATGGCGAAGATTTCACCCGTTTTACTTTTTGATGCTAAAAAATAAAGGTTAGGCTAAACATAGCAGCCCTCACTCCTTGCCAGGGAGGCATTATTGAGGGGTTGTGGTGTAGTTTTCGTCAGTAAGTGTCATAGTTTAAAGATTTGTCGGGATTTAGTTTGGTCAGTGTCCCCTGAAAAGCTAGGAAAAAACAGGGTTGTCAGCATTGTACGTTGATTTTTCGATAGTCTTCGTTATTGTCACAATTCACAGGACTACCGAGCTGTAAAACCTCCCGAAAGCGCCAATGTCGAGACAGGAATCGTCTCGGCTGTGGCGCTGTCAGTCGGCTTCACCGTTCAGTCGTCCGTCCGACTAGATCTCGCAAGTATCTACATCGGGTGAATTGTTGTTTAGTACGTTATGCACAGTGGAGGGTCCTGTTATTGTCGTCGATATATGCTCAAACACTTGTGAAGGCAACCGTGCTTTCTACGCACGCCGTCTTCCCGATGTATGTTGATGATGCTATCCCTCAACTCATCGGGGAGGCATCGCGCGTAGAAGTTTTCAGCTGTTGAAGTAATAAAGTCCTTCATGTATGGCATATTTGTCGTAGCGTGCATGTCTCGTATTCTAGTGTAGCGATCGCACCCCAGAACTAGCCTCAGACATCTGTTTTGAGCGTTTTGTAGCTTATTATGATGTATTTGTGCCATGGAGCAGAAAACTGGACAGCCATAAGTCAGTATCGGTCTAAAGACTGATTTGTATAATAAGATCTTGTTAGACAGTGTAACTCCGCTGCGTCTATTCATGAGGGGGTAAAGAGTCCTCAGAATACCGCAGTTTTTCGTCACCCTGTCCACAATATGTTGGCGAAACGTTAATCCCCTATCCAGATAGAATCCTAAGTATTTTATATGAGGCTTTGCAATGATTGGTGCATTTTGCACACGAAGGGGCGTGTCTATGCCTTCGGTCCGCCTCTTTGTAATGAGGATACTTTCGGTTTTCAACGGATTTATTTTCATTTTATTACTATCTAGATAGGTGATTAACGGTCCATTTATATGACTGTCCAGCTTCCTGGTGGCTGTTTGTGCTGATGAATGGCTGGAAAATAAACAGATGTCATCGGCATACAACGCCGTTTGTACACCATTATCACCCATGGGTATGTCACAGGTCATAATTGTGTACAAATGCGGCGAAAGTACTGAGCCTTGGGGCACTCCCGCCTGCGCTAGGAATGGTCCTGTTATTGTGGAGTTTATCTTAATGCAAAATTGTCTGTCCGTTAAGTATGAGTGTATTATTTTTACAATATGTACGGGAAAATCATTCACAAGCATTTTGTGTATTAGCCCACGAGTCCACACGGTGTCAAAGGCCTTCTGACAGTCCAAGGTTACTAGAACCGTTTGAAGGTCGTTGTTGAACCCTTCTTTCGCATGATGTGCTATACGTAATATCTGTGATATAGTGCTGTGCCCCTCTCTGAAACCGTGCTGTTCCCGTGGGATAATTTGTAAACGTTGTTCTGTCTGCTTAAGTCGAATCAAAATTACAGTGTCCGTTATTTTAGCGATTGTATTCAGTAAGGAAATGGGGCGGTAACTATCGATCTTATTGGCCGGTTTGCCTGCTTTAAGAATTGGTAAGATATTTGCCATTTTCAGGCCACAGGGATAGTATTGTAACCTGAAAATGGCATTTATTAAATGGTGGAGCTGCACGACAGCTTTTCTACTTAAGTTCTTAAGTAAAATGTTACTGATGTTGTCCGGTCCCGGGGCTTTTCTATTTTTGAGACTCTTAATTACTTCACACACCTCTTTTGGGGAGGTAAAAAAGGAATGTGGCACTACTTGTGGTTCCGACTGCTGCAGCGCATTTACTGCAAGTTCAATGCGCTGTTGTTCAGGAGTGTTTACGTTATCGTTGATGAAGTTAGACTGAAAGTATTCGCCGAAGGCTTGGCCTTTGTCCTTGTCGGTGTTAAGTATGTTCGGTCCTTGTTTCATTGTGGGAAGCAGTGGGTTCGGTTTTTTAAACCTTTTCACCACTTTCCACAATGAATTGTCTTGTGGTTTGAGCTCAGATAGGGTGGTTTTCCATTTTTTATTTCTGTATTCTTTAATCAATGTATTGATGGTCTTGGCAATGCTATAGAGTAGTACCCTATCCTCGCTCTGTCGGTGTTGTTGCCATCTCTTTCTAATTGTATTTTTCCTATTAATCATGTCTGTTATTTCTATAGGCAATATGTCGTTGTGTTGTTTTTGTGTTTTAAGTGTAGTTGTAGCGTCTCTAGCTTTTTGTATGGCGTTTATAAAGTTGTTTGTCTCAATTTCAATTAATTCTTTGGTGTTTATATTATTATTTATTTTTATTGTTTTGTCAATTTCTGTTCTATAATCTGCCCAATTTGTTGTTTTATAGTCGTAGTATTGCCTATATTGTCGGGGGATTTTTTGTGTTGTCCAGATCTCTAAGTACACTGGATCGTGGTCTGAGCTAAGGGTGCTAATGGTTTTCATATTACGAATGTCAGGGATGTTTTTCGATAGAGCTATATCCAGTGTACTTGGGGTATGTGTCGCGCATGAAGGGAAGAATGTCGGTTCGTCTGTATAATGTATTATGTGACCGTTGACTTCGGCGAAATCTCTCAGTAGCAGTCCACTGGGGTTGGGGGCTACACAATTAGCGTCCCATTCCGGATGTTTAGCATTAAGGTCCCCTGCAAGCAAAACCCTGTTTCCTTTCGACATCAGTGTGTGCAGATCTCTACCTAACAAATTTTTACTAGGGGTGTGATATGCGCCTATAATGATTATGTTGTTTACTTCGATAATAATGTTCTCTAGTTTGGGTGAAACGTGTGCCCTTCTCAATTGTTTAAAAATTATGTCTTTCTTTATTAAGATAGCTACCCCTCCGATACCTTGTCTTTGTTGTAATGTATGTCTGTCTTGTCTAATTACTATAAAATCTCGTATTTTTACTTTGTTCGTAGGTTTTAGGAACGTCTCAGTCAATATTATGATGTCAAATTTATGCTTGTGAATGAAATTGCTTACAAGACCGATCTTGTTTAGCAGCCCGCGCACATTATAAAAACAAATTCTCAGTTTGTCTCTATTTACGTTGTTGAATTAGTTCCTAATGTTGAATTTGTCTAAATTTGTCATGAAGTTATTAAAAGTCATTAAGTATTGGGCTGGGTCGTTATTACACTTACGGAGTTGGGCATTTAGCTCTCTGACAGCACGAGTGAGTTCTGCTATGTTTACCATACTATTTAGTTCCTTTAATTCCTGGTTTAGGGTGAATATATCATCCATAGTGCCCTCTGATTGGTTAGGGGTTTGTGACTGTCTTCTGGTTTGCTGTGGTTGGGTTTTTTGTGTGCTTTGCCTACTTGTGGTGGGTAAAGCGGGGAAATCTTCTTTTTTCGGGTTAGAATTTGCCTTATTCCAGACATTGGATGTAGGAAGGGGTGCAGGGATGTATTTACGGGTAGGTGCTTGGGTGAGCCTCCTCTCTTCTAGTCTGCTAGCTCGTTCCGTGTACGCTTTACACTGTGTAAAGTTGGCAGGGTGGTCCCCCAGACAATTCGCACATGTCGCTGGGGTTTCCCTCGTCTTTATACATGTGCGGGTGAGGTGGTCTCCGGCGCACTTGAGGCATTTCGGCGGCCTACCACAGTTCGAGGTGGCATGCCCCCATGCCTGGCATCTATGGCATTGTATGATGCTTCTTTGAGATTTTCGTAGTTCCCATATTATACGAGTGTTCTCGACTACCCTTACGTTTTTGTTGAGGTAGTCGAGTGTTATGGCCGGGTCAGTCACTACTAAAAATAGTGGTCGGTACTTGGTCGTCATTTTAAATATTTCTTTTGGCTTGATTTCATAAGAAGCTATGAGATCTTCTTCTATAGCCTCTATTTCTGTCCCGTCGGCCAGGCCTCTCAGGACGAAGGCATGGGTTTTGTCTGTCTTATTGGTGTAAGTGTGGTGGGAGATTTGTGCCTGCTTGATGCTGCCTAATAATGCCTCGTAATCCTCCAGGGTTTCTGTGAATATTACAGTCGTGGCATTAGTATACTTTACTGTATATTTCCCTTGTATTATGGCCTTTAAATCTTTTGTAAGGGTTGCGTGGTTTTCTGTGCGTCCGTCTACAACTATAGGTGGGATAGTGTTTTTCTTGACAGTTTTTTGGGCCTCTTTGGAGTTTTGGGCTGTTTTATTGCCCGATTTGCCTTTGATCGGGAGATTGGGGGTAGCTTTGCCTTTGATTAGGGGTGTATTAACCTGCTCTTCTTCACTTTCACTTAGTGAATCATACTTATTGCTA